TCACAAACACTCTTTTCCAACAACACAAGAGACGACTCTACACATGGACATCACCAGATGGGCAGCATCGAAATCAGATTGATTATATTCTCTGCAGCCAAAGATGGAGAAGCTCTATACAGTCAGCTAAAACAAGACCTGGAGCTGACTGTGGCTCAGATCATCAGCTTCTTATAGCAAAATTCAAGCTTAAACTGAAGAAAGTAGGAAAAACCACTGGGCCGGTAAGATACAGTCTAAGTCAAATCCCTTATGAATACACAGTGGAAGTGAGGAACAGGTTTAAGGATTTAGATTTGGTGGACAGAGTGCCTGAAGAACTATGGATGGAGGCTCGTAACATTATACAGGAGGCAGCAACTAAAACCATCCCAATGAAAAGGAAATGCAAGAAAGCAAAGTGGCTGTCCAACGGGGCCTTACAAATAGCGGGGGAGAGAAGGCAAGCAAAATGCGAGGGAGATAGTGAAAGATACAGGAAATTGAATGCAGATTTCCAAAAAATAGCAAGGAGAGACAAGAAGGCCTTCTTAAACAAGCAATGCAGAGAAATAGAGGAAAACAATAGAATGGGAAAAACCAGAGATCTGTTCAAGAAAATTGGAGATATGAAAGGAACATTTCGTACAACGATTTCCATAATAAAAGACAAAAGTGGAAAGGACCTAACAGAAGCAGAAGACATCAAGAAGAGGTGGCAAGAATACACAGAGGAACTATACCAGAAAGAAATGGATGTCTCGTATACCCCAGGTAGTGTGGTTGCTGACCTTGAGCCAGACATCCTGGAAAGTGAAGTCAAATGGGCCTTAGAAAGCATTGCTAATAACAAGGCCAGTGGAAGTGATGATATTCCAGCTGAACTATTTAAAATTTTAAAAGATGATGCTGTTAAGGTGCTACACTCAATATGCCAGCAAATTTGGAAAACTCAGCAGTGGCCAGAGGATTGGAGAAGATCAGTCTACATCCCAATCCCAAAGAAGGGCAGCGCCAAAGAATTGCACTCATTTCACACGCTAGCAAGATTATGCTTAAAATTCTACAAGGCAGGTTCAAGCAGTATGTGGACCGAGAACTCCCAGAAGTGCAAGCTGGATTTAGAAGAGGCAGAGGAACCAGAGACCAAATTGCAAACATGTGCTGGATTATGGAGAAAGCTAGAGAGTTCCAGAAAGACATCTACTTCTGCTTCATTGACTATGCAAAAGCCTTTGACTGTGTCGACCACAGCAAACTATGGCAAGTTCTTAAAGAAATGGGAGTGCCTGATCACCTCATCTGTCTCCTGAGAAATCTCTATGTGGGACAAGAAGCTACAGTTAGAACTGGATATGGAACAACTGATTGGTTCAAAATTGGGAAAGGAGTACGGCAAGGCTGTATATTGTCCCCTGCTTATTTAACTTATAGGCAGAATTCATCATGCGAAAGGCTGGGCTGGATGAATCCCAAGCCAGAATTAAGATTGCCGGAAGAAATATCAACAAACTCAGATATGCAGATGACACAACCTTGATGGCAGAAAGTGAGGAGGAATTAAAGAACCTTTTAATGAGGGTGAAAGAGGAGAGCACAAAATATGATCTGAAGCTCAACATCAAAAAAACCAAGATCATGGCCACTGGTCCCATCACCTCCTGGCAAATAGAAGGGGAAGAAATGGAGGCAGTGAGAGATTTTACTTTCTTGGGCTCCATGATCACTGCAGATGGTGACAGCAGCCACGAAATTAAAAGACGCCTGCTCCTTGGGAGAAAGGCAATGGCAAACCTAGACAGGATCATTAAAAGCAGAGACATCACCTTACCAACAAAGGTCCATGTAGTTAAAGCTATGGTTTTCCCAGTAGTGATGTATGGAAGTGAGAGCTGGACCATAAAGAAGGCTGATCGCCAAAGAATTGATGCTTTTGAATTATGGTGCTGGAGGAGACTCTTGAGAGTCCCATGGACTGCAAGAAGATCACACCTCTCCATTCTGAAGGAAATCAGCCCTGAGTGCTCACTGGAAGGACAGATCGTGAAGCTGAGGCTCCAATACTTTGGCCACCTCATGAGAAGAGAAGACTCCCTGCAAAAGACCCTGATGCTGGGAAAGATGGAGGGCACAAGGAGAAGGGGACGACAGAGGACGAGATGGTTGGACAGTGTTCTCGAAGCTACAAACATGAGTCTGACCAAACTGCGGGAGGTAGTGGAAGATAGGAGTGCCTGGCGTGCTCTGGTCCATGGGGTCACGAAGAGTCGGACACGACTAAACGACTAAACAACAACAAGACAGGCATAGGCAAACTCCGGCCCTCCAGATGTTTGGGACTACCACTCCCATCATCCCTAGCTAACAGGACCAGTGGTCAAGGATGAAGGGAATTGTAGTCCCAAACATCTGGGGGGCCGGAGTTTGCCTATGCCTGGTCTAAGAGATAGAAGATAGGGTGCAGCAAAGGGGGAGAAAGATAAAAAAATCCCATGGAAAACAGGATGGGAAGTCAGCAAAACATAGGGAAAAAATATTACGTATTGGAGTTTATATGTGAAACTTTTGGAAATTTAATAAAATATAACTAAAAAGAGATACTCTGGCTAAATTAATATAATTTAGTTTTGCTTGGTAAGTAAACTGTGTGTAACATTGCATAGAAATCATAAAAGCTGATTGCCAAGTACTTGCAGCCAGATCGATGGGGAATAAATAAATAAATAAATAAATTATTATTATTATTATTATTGCGGTCATCATCCATCATCATCATTTAGCATTACATGACATTTTCAGAAGATAAAATTCTTTGGTTTTTCAAAAGCTGTTTATGTGCTTCTTCCTCAAACGTAGACTTACCAAGCTAAATATTGTCCAGTCACAAAATAATAGCACATTTGAATTCCTCAGACCCCAAAAAATATTTTTTAACACCCCATACTGAAGATATTTGCAAAAAAAATATGCTTCACCCCCTAAAATGACACCTCAGCCCCCCACTTGCCCCCAGTGCTCTTTTTTCTACAAAAAGAGGTGCCGGAACTCACCACGAACGCCTCCCTCTTTCTCTTAGAATGGCAGTGACATCTACCATAGAGGTTCCGGAACTGAATTCCGGCGAGTTACCCCTGAAAAAAAGCCCTTCCTGTCTCCTTTCCCCTTGCAGCTAGGCACTTCCTGAGAAGACCGGTCCTGGACTCAGTGCCGGAGTTACGTATAAGCTAAACAAGCTATAGCTTAGGGCCCCACTCTCTTGGGCCCCCCAAAATTTTTTAAAGAAAAAACAAAATATGGATGTACATTTCCAAAATATAAGATAAAAAACAAATAAAACCTACATACAGCAACTGTGCTTTGTGTTGTGTAGGCTCCTATGATGTAAGTAATGGGCCCCGCCTGCTAGCCTGCTCCCTCAAATATCATTGGTTTGCTCCTTTCTATATATAGGGTGCCTACATTCTGCATGGACTGGTTGCATGGGAACATGCGCAAATGGCTTTAGATACCTATTAGGCCCGTAAATTACCATGGCCAAACTTGGCCTTCCAGCTGTTTTGGGACTACAATTCCCATCATTCCTGACCACTGGTCCTGTTAGCTAGGGATGATGGGAGTTGTAGTCCCAAAACAGCTGGAGGGCCAAGTTTGGCCATGCCTGCCATATCACATATATGCAACACTAAAAACAGCGACAATTTGTTGTTGACAAAGGACAGCTGGACATATAAAGGGTCCCATTACCTTCAGTAGCTTAGGGCCTCATCAAACCTAAATCTGGTCCTGCCTGGACTCCAGCACCATCTCCCTGCAACCCCCCCTTTCACATGATTTCAATATTCTCCATGTTTCCCGCGGACTAAAACTGTCCGCAAATTGCAGAGGATTTATTCTCGGCTCTGAACATGTGGACCAGCATCTGCGATAGATAGCTAAGCAAGCTCCTGAACTGTCTCCGGTCGCGAGCGGTGGGCTACCCTGTCTTTATTAAACTCAACGGCTGCTCTCGCCGAACTCCCTTTTCCAGCATCTGGTGAACTGTCAAGTTGCGCTTAAATATTTTAACAAACAAGTAAAAATACTTTTACTGTTGCCTCGGATGGCAGTAAAAATATAAGAGGCGCTTGCTTATGGCGTCTTCGAGAAACACTTCAGCGAGAGCGGCGTGGTGCTTAGCTTGACAACACGTTCCAGGCCAGCTGCCTCTTTAAGGGATGGGAATCCTTCAAGCCGAGAGCTGTACAACCACTGCGGCTTTTGGAGGGCTGTGTGTGTGGACCAGGCGGGTGTCACAGTTGCTGGAACTGGAGAAGGAGGCTTGCAATAGATCTAAGTGAGAGGTGAGAGACTTTGTGCTGGCCATCAGGCAATGGCTTCTTCCACCTGGCTTGCCCCACCCTCCAGCCCCCAGGAGCCTTCAAAAGGGATCTTTCCCCAGAGGAAGAACTGTGAGGGGTGGGAGACTTTGTCCATCATCATGGGGTGCGTGTGTGTTTTCCACTGTGCTTCCCCACCTCTCAGAAGCATGTACATTTTATTGAGCTGAACAGAGTGGAAGATTACGAGCGGGGAAACAGTGTGCATGAATCACAGCTTGTTTTGGGTTGCTGTTTTGCTAATGTCGTTAATATTGTTTTACGGATTATACTTCGTGAATCCTATGACTTTTTAATAATAATGATACCCAGCCTATTTTTCAGTGGTTGTTTTGTTAATAGTGTTTTATAGATTGTTAATTGTTTTACTGATGCCTTGCTAATTATTCTGCCTGAGCTATGCCGTATTTGCGATGTTATGCTGGCGTTATTTATTGTTTGTAAGCGGCTTTGGGAGTCGTTCGAAAGAAAAGCGGCCTAGAAATATAATCACGCCAGATATTGGAACGGCTATGTAAATGATCGACAGGGCTGTATAAATGGAACCATACAAACCCAACCCGTTTAAGAAAAAATATATTTTCTGTCCTTACAAATAATTTTTGCTCAACACTTGGCTTTGGGGGAGGGTGGGTCGGCAGTCAGTGACCGATAGCTCAGTTGGTAGAGCATGAGATTCTTAACCTCAGGGCCGTGGGTTCGAACCCCACATTGGGCAAAAAGGTTCCTGCATTGCAAGGGTTTCGACTAGATGACCCTCGTGGTCCCTTCCATATCTACAATTCTAGGATTTGATTCTATCAATCAATCAATCAATCAATCAATCAGTCGATGTCACCAGATGTCAAAGAGAAAATCAACTACCAGACTTTTAGAAGACATCTGAAGGCAGCCCTGTTTAGGGAAGCTTTTAATGTTTAACAGGTTATTGTATTTTGGTGTTCTGTTGGAAGCCGCCCAGAGTGGCTGGGGAAACCCAGCCGGATGGGTGGGGTATAAATAAGAAATAAATATTATTATTATTGTTATTGTTATTGTTATTATTATCATTATTAGTATAGCCTTGCTAGCTCAGCCCAAAGGCCGCCAGACCACAAGAGGACTCACAGCGGCCACTCTGATGGCAAAGGATGGAGCTGAGTAGACAGCAGATAAATCAACAAAAACAAACCTCTGGGGGGCGACTAAAGAAGGGGCTATTGCACCCATTTCCTACTTGAGAGGAAGGGGCATCTGACTGGCCATTGTGGGTGCTGTGTGCCTTTGGTCTGATCCAGCAGGAATCTTCTAGTAGAAGCCAGGTAAAGGGCTTCCCACAGCATCCTGCTACTCAAACTTCCTTAAGTTCCAATATTTTCTCCACAATGAGGTCTGGAATCTGTTTTTTTCTTTTTCATAAGCATTCCTAATTCTAATACTAGATTGCTAGATTTTCCCTTTGTATGCCAGACTGAAGATGTGTGGCATATTCAGGCAGCCAGGATCAGACTCTCCAAGTGTCTCTATTTTCCAGGGACTGTCCCAGATTTACAGAAGCTGTCCCGGTTCCTGATTTGATCCCGGAATGTCCCACTTTCCCTTAGGATGTCCCTGTTTTCATGAGAGAAATGTTGGAGGGTGTGGAGTTATGTGACCCTATACAAGTCAGCCCTGTTTAGGGAAGTTTCTTGATGTTTCATGTTAGGGTTTTATATATGTTGGAAACTGCCCACAGTGCCTGGGCAAGCCAGTCAGACGGGTAGGGCATAATAATATAATAGTAAACATCCCAATTTCATCAGGGAAATGTTGCAGGTTATGTAACGACATGAAGACTGGGAGATAGTGTTAGTGCTGGGAGATCACTAAATTTGCTGGGGATTAATATAAGCTCATATCCTTGCTTTCTATTTGTGGTACATTAGAGTTTGTACAGATAGGGACTGGGTTGTTTTTGTTTTTTGTAAAAGAGGTACAGTCATACCCCGGATTACAGATGCTTCAGGTTGCGTTTTTTCAGGTTGCAAACCGCCGAAACCCGGAAGCACTGGAATGGGTTATGTAATGAGTATGGGTTGCTCGTGCGTAAGTTGCCGCCTCTCCTGGCTTTGTTGCCTTGTTAAACCTTTCGGTCTGGACAGCCCTTCACTTTGTGGCTGCCTCAGTCGCTAGCAGAATCCGTCAGTGGGCGTTTCTTAAACCTTTTCCAACATAAAAGTTGTTTGACGCCAAGTCTCCTCCTACTCTCCCTGCGCGGAAGCCTTCTGCGCATGGAGGGCGTGGGTAGCGGAGGACCCGTGCTCTCCCGGCTGGTGTCCGGTGATGAGTCCTGGCGCCCTCTCGCCTATTCCCCCTTCTGCCCCCCTTTATCCCTGTTGTTGCGCTGATTTGCTTCCCCATCTGCTGAGCTGCCTCTCTCCCTGCTGGGCCCTTCTCCAGCATCATTTGAGAGCCTTCCCTCCGCCTCTAGCTCCGATGTCAGTTCCCTGACAGGTTACTTCCGGGTTTCGGCCGTCGCGCATGTGCAGAAGTGCTAAATCACGCTTTGCGCATGCGCAGATGCACTGAACCGCAACCCGCGCGTGCGCAGATGCGCCACTGCGGGTTGCGAATGCTGTGGGTTGCGAACGTGCATCCCGCATGGATCACGTTCGCAACCCGACCATCCACTATAATTGCCAAGTTTGACTTTCCTACCTGCAGCTTAAAGTGGTGCAGTCCTCTCTGCCGAGGCAGGACTCTGCCACTTTCTTCCGCTGCAGGCGTAAGCCTTGGCACTCTCCGCCTGCTCTCTTATATGTTTCCCGGGAGGTCAAGTGTCAGAGAAGCTCTACGATGGGGGGATTAATAAATGTCAGGGGCTAAAAGCCTGCAAAGTTATTCCTTGAGATATTAAGTTGATCGAAAGATTAAAATGTGCCGGGCCTGGAGTCTATAGTTTCATTTGATTATATGCTAAAAGGCATGCATTATAGAGTATCAGCCTCAGGTGAATTCGCAGGAAAGATCTTTGCGAGAGATTGGGCACTCTGCCGGATGGATGAGCAAATGAAGAAAGACAGAGGAATAACAGGGCTCTTATGAAATTTATAAAATCTGATCTGATCTGGATCATGCTAGGCAAAGTAGAAGCCTTCCTGTATGGAGGCGGGGCAGGCTCATCGCCTGGCAATCAAAGCAGTGAATGCAAGACACTTCAGCGAGCCAATGGCATTCCTGCCTTGCTTTTCTCTCCTCCCTCTTTGTGGCTTTTGAATCTGATAAATGACTAGCAAATTACCGTATTTTTCTGTATAAGACTAATTATTTGGGGTCGTCTTATACACGGATAGTGGTGAGGTTGGATGGGCGATTGGTGGTTGCCATGAGCCAGAGATTGTCAGCGGCGTTTTCGCAGTTGATTGGCTGTTTTGGCAAGTTCCGCAGGCTATTGACTGCTGCGGCAATTAGGCGGGCTATTGGCGTTTGCTGTTGGCGAGCACTCAGATGATTGATCGCTTCGTTGATGTGCGTGCGATCGGCTGTGTTGGTCCCATGGGTGAGCGATTTTTGGCACCCCCCCAAAAAAACTCAACAACTCTGGGCAATTTCCCCCCATTTTCTCAATTTGGAGTCCTCAAAAATAGAGAGCGTCTTATACATGGGGGCGTGTTATACCCGGAAAAGTATGGTACATGAAGACTAGAGGCCCGTGGCTAAAGGTTTGAACCAGTCTTTGCTAACCAGGATTTGCACTACAACTCCCATGAGCCAGAGCAATGTTGGGTGTTGATTTCCTTGATTCAGGCTTAGAGCTTAAAAGGGACCTGTTGCTTCATGGGGACATAGAGGGATGCTTTATACTGGTCCATCCAGCTCAATATTGTCTGCAGTGGCAGTGGCTCTCCAGGGTTACTGATGAGGGACATTCCTAGCCCTACCTGGAGATGCCAAGGGTTGAAATTGTGACCTTCTGCATGAAACGAAGATGGTCTACAGGCCTTCCCAAGGGAAGCAGCTCAAACTGAGATCTTTATCCCTTCCTGACTCTCAGCGAACCCTTGCATGCACTTCCCTGGAGGCGGCTGGATGGCGACTAACAGATTGAGGTTGAATCCTGACAAGACAGAAGTACTGTTTTGGCGGGACAGGGTGCAGGCAGGTATGGAGGACTCCTTGGTCCTGAATGGGGTAACTGTGCCCCTGAAGGACCAGGTGTGCAGCCTGGGAGTCATTCTGGACTCACAGCTGTCCATGGAGGTGCAGGTCAATTCTGTGTCCAGGGCAGCTGTCTACCAGCTTCATCTGGTACGCAGGCTGAGACCCTACCTGCCCGCAGCCTGTCTCGCCAGAGTGGTGCGTGCTCTGGTTATCATCCGCTTGGACTACTGCAACAAGCTTTACATGGGGCTACCTTTAAAGGTGACCCAGAAACTGCAACTAATCCAGAATGCGGCAGCTAGACTGGTGACTGGGAGCAGCTGCCAAGACCACATAACCTACACTGAAAGACCTACATTGGCTCCCAGGACATTTCTGAGCGCAATTCAAAGTGTTGGTGCTGACCTTTAAAGCCCTAAACAGCCTTGGCCCAGTATACCCGAAGGAGGAGAAGAGGAGACTGAGAAGTGATTTTATAGCCATCTTCAAAAATCTAAAGAGCTGTCACATGGAAGATGGAGCAAGCTTGTTTTCTCCTGTTCCAGAGAGTAAGACCTGAACCAACAGATTCAAGTTACAAGAAAGGAGATTCTGGCTAAACATTAGGAAGAACTTTCTGGTGGTGAGAGCAGTCCGGCGGTAGAATGGACTCCCTTGGAGGTTTTTAAGCAGAGGTTGGGTGGCCATTTATCAGGGATGCTATAGTTCAGATTCCTGCATTGCATGGGGTTGGACTAGATGTTCCTTGAGGTCCCTTCCAGCTCTACAGTTTTAAGATTCTCTGATTCTATAAGCTTCCCCGGGAGTTAAACCCTGTGGTTTCAGTTATAGGCTGGAAAATCCATCACCCAAAAAAGGACGAAGGATTCAGGCTGAGAATGAGTCATTAGTTGGGAACAGCTCAGATGTGGCTGAGTTAACTGAAGGGAAAGGCACTTCTCTCACTCTATCTGAGCCAGGGAGGTGTTATGATTGGCTACCAGGACGCCGAAATCACTTTTTATATGCTGACCCACCCAGTGAGGAAGATGAGAACTGCATAAACATTTTTCTAGCGCCGAATGGTCCATTTGCACTCCAAAATGTTTGTGTTCCAAGAACCAGATTTTCAAAGCGGTGTGTGTGTGTGTGTGTGTGTGTGAGAGAGAGAGAGAGATTTAAGAAGTGGTCGTGAGACCTGGCAGAGCTGAAGTCCTTTTCACGGGGCTGGGAGCTGTATAATGAGAAACGAATTTCTCTCTTTAACGCATGGTTGGGAAGTTTGTAAAAGAAAATAGGACTTGCGACTGCCGTGTGTCGAAGCCAAGCAAACTGGCAGCTATTCTGGGCACAAAGAAAACTGCCCCCTTGCCAAGACTCAGCAACGGTGGAAGAAAACTGACCATGAAATGAGAGAGGGAGGGAGGAAGAGAGAGAGAGAGAGAGGTGTTGTAGGCAAACTAGGACATGACTTTATGATCAGCGTCAAACCATTGTTTGGTCCTAAGCTCTTGGAAGCGTTCCTGTTTGTTGCCAATGCCCTCAGAGGTAAGGATCCTTGCAGCCTTGTCGAAGGATGTTTCTAATTAACTGTCTTCTAGAGTATCTGCTTACATTTTGG